AATCCTTTTCATTTGCTTTTTATTTTCAGTAACACCTTATGAAAACAGGGATAACTGCAGTAAACCATTATTTAAATGTTTCAAAAGAAACCACTCCTACTGAGTTGATAAATAAATACTAACATGGTGACAAAAAATTATTTGGAATAAAATTGTTTTCATAATCTAATTGTTAAAGATATGATGCTGGAGTTTCAGTAATACTGCTAAGACATGTTACCTTTTTACGGGGGATTTAAAATTTCTAAGGCAGTGTCAAAGCCACATAAGATATATACAACATGATACACATATTTCGTTATCATTTTTAAGTAAGAGAAGGATTCTACAGCTTCTTAAGAGAACTCCATCTGCTAACAGTCCAGATATTTTTGTGCATATAACTCAGGAAAGGTTACAGTTCAAAATCTGTAACCTAAGTGAGTAAGACTTGTTACAGAAGATGTTGCAGACACGGGGGATGACAGTACCCAAGCAGAGTGGTTACCACAATGCCGCAGTGGATACAACTCCCTCTGGGAGTATGGAAAAAAACCTGTCCCTGGTCTGCTTTGGCAAGAACTGGGTACTGCCAAAGCTCCTAGCCCGTCTAACAGTCACAGCAGCAACCCACTTGAATACATATCGCTGTTACAGGGCTTTATCCAATCTAGAAAGATGGGCTACCTGTGCCAATAAAGGTAGGTAAAGGGCTGTCTTCTGTCTTCCCTTGAAATCAGTAAGGCTTCTCTAATGCGAATATCAACAGGGCTGAGATTTCACTTGCATGGTTAATGACTACATCTGAGAATAGATTCAACTGAGTGTTATCTAAACCGATCTAGGTCCTAGATACATGCCCAGACATTTATGGTGTCTGGTTTAAGGTCTTATTATGCAATATTCTTGGTTGGTGATGACACAAAGATTTTAACCAAGTTAATCTTTCAGACTCAAACTCAGCTACTTGACTTTTAAATTAAAAAGATTCTTAGCCAACAGACACTGAATACATAGAAAAATATCCATGACAGAAAGGACATTTAGGCTCTTACCTTCCCTGTCTTTCTTCTAAATAACTTATACTATTAATTACTAAGTGTTGACTCAATTATTCCCAATCTTGATCTATTCCTGCTATCAGTTATATGGCCTGTTCTATGTCCTATTTAATGAACCCTTTTAATGCAAATTACAGAACTCATAATTTCTTCAACTTATATTTGTGACTTTCCATGCTTCCAACAGACTACATAAATCACAGTGTATTCTTGAAAACTTGATTTTAAATGCTTTGATCATGCAATACGAAGTAGACACTGCTCACAAATGATGCTATTTCTTACATTAAGTTGTACTGAGAGTCAAACATTTCAGAATTTATGTTACAAAACAGTGTAACAAGTAACAGCTGAAGAGAAGCATCAATGAAGAATATTTTTCACTAGTTTTTTAAATAGGTTTACCATTAAAACAATCACATAAGGTCCACTGACAAAAAGCTGCACCAATTTAAAAGTGTGAAAGTAAACGGAGAGTATATCCTACTGCTTTCACTCAAGTCCATTGGAAACAGGTTAACGCTAAAGCAATTAAGTCTGTCAAACTGAAATAAGAGTGGGTTTGCACTGACTTAACTAAACCAGTGCTAGTCGGTGTGAACGAAACCTGACTGTTACATCTAGTCTTTGCAACAAGACCCTATGCAGATGGACCTTCTGTTTCTTTAGGTAAGTACTTAAATGCAATTTAAACTTAATTTATGCCAGTTTGGTTTAAACAATATGCAGAGTGGTTTGAAGGCCGCCTAATAAATGAAGACAGAGTTAGAGAACAAAACATAAAATAATCTTCACCTTACAAATTCATTTTTAAATGTGTTCAAAGGACATCGTGATCTCCCTGTACTTTTTCTTGATGACACCAATAAGCGAAAATGGAACTTTTTAATGGTAGAAGTTCTGTGAAAGAAATTGAAGTGATTTTTTTTCCCCTTTTTAAATTAGGGAGAAAACTAGAGTGTTATGGAATCAAAGACTCCAAAATATCAATAAAGGAGAATGTTTTGGAACCAATACCCTTTGCTAGCCTTCTTTCCTCCCCCTTCACCCTATTATTCTTCTGTTGGTATCTTTATTTTGCATTCTAAGACAACTTTTTCTAGAGTTCTTTCAATGTTTTGAAAAGTTATTTCTAAAAGATTTTCTTAAAGACTTTAAGTTATTTCCTTTGGTATTTTACTTTCTCCCTCTGACTTTTGTCTTCATTAAGTATCTTGGGCTATATTCTCTTTATCGGACTTCATACATTGGTTACATTTGTTTTAGATATTCATCCATTTCTATCTGGCAGGGAACTAGCGTATAGTATCGATCACATTCAGTTTTGAAGAGTACGGTTCCACACTGCGCAGTTAGCAGAAGGAATGCAGTAGTGTAACCGTTCAAACACAGCCACACTGTGAATTCTGAAACATTATCCATTTACAGAACACAATAATGAAATTATCAGATGCTTTGCTGATATGAAAAACAAACTATCTGACAATCACATCATTAAACAAGTAACACAAGCTAAAAATGCTGCAGGTATTTTGGATGCCCTCTTCATCCTTTTTAAAACGTTACCTAGTAGCTACTTTACTACTGGCCAGAAGAATATCTGAGCAACAAAGGTCTTCAGGCAATATTCAAGACACAGAAATCAGGGAAACACAGCTTCAAAATCAGCTTATTATCAAAGCTGACAGTATCATATTCATCACCTTATACAAAACCTGGAAGAAACCCAATTCTCTCTCAGTTATGGGTCATATGAACATTTAAGAGTAGCTCAGCTAGCAGTGAAGTTCTAAAATTTTAAATTTTTGTAGGAGTTGATTCAAAACTTTTAATTCTAAAAAACAAAGCCATGCCAAAGACACTCTATCTTTAACCTTTGATACTATAAAAATGGTTATTTTTTATTTTGGCAGTGCCCATACAATTTGAGAGATCAGCATATATTCAGTATCCAGTGGAGAAAAACATAAAACAATATTAAACCAAAATCTTGCCAGCTCCACTACCCCACTCCTCTTTGCAGAGGTTAATGCAAAAGAATACATTTTTATTAAATATATTTGAATATCTTAGGCGAAAGTCTCTAAACTAGTTAAAGAAAGAACTTTAGAACTCTAATTACTAAAAACAGAGACATGCTTGTATTTCTTATGGTTTCAAATATGTAGAATGAATTCAACTTCAGAGGGAGGGCATGGTGCCAGCAAATTATACACTTTCATTAGAAGGGTGGGAAAAAAGGCAGGGCTAATGTACAAAAGAATAGGGTGCAGCACTCAAACAGAAAGCCTAGTATTCATTCTGCATTTACTCAAACATGTTATCATATCCAGGAACACCACTACTTTAAAATAACATACCAGTTTAATCTAAGCATTTTTAATTAGGTTACCACCAAAATATTTGCTACTACTTTACTAATCCCACTATTACCATTACTCAGAATACATTTAATACACTTTCTTTTAGTCACGTCAGCACAGCGTCACTCCCTCTAGTGGGTACAAAACACAGCTTATACGGACAACCCGAATTTTCATACAAGGGAAAAGTACTCCTGCAGCTACACTAAAAGCAACAACACTGGCTAGAGTGCAAGTCTTCTATCGCAGCTATAAAGAGAACCACTATTTCACTCTGACTACTAGAAAATGTGTTTTTACTAGCCCTGTTGTTTGCTTTTGCTTCCTGAATTTTCCAATGGCCAAAACAGAATTACAATGAATGCAAATATTGTGGCAGCAAGAAATGCATTTATTTCTAGCTTGCTTTCTCTTCCAGCACCACGCTAGTTTTAGTTCTCAGCTCAACAGCGAGTTTTGCCTGCCATCAATTTTTTTCATAACTCTCTTTCTTCCTTTGCATATACTGGCTACATACTAAACTCAAGTAGTATTAAAATCCCATGTCTTTTCCTGCCAAATAACTTGACTACTCTATTTCATTTGCATACTTGCTCGACAAAGCCAACTCTGGAAACACTAAGACATGGCCTAATGTTTACAAGAACTCATTTCAGCAGATCTTACTACATAATCGCATAATGAAAAAAAAAAAGACAAATGAAAGTCAACCATATACGTGGATTTTTTTGACTGTTATATATAGAAAATCTGTATAGCTAACGGAACTACAGAATACTGCCAACAGGGAAATGAAACAGGAAGAACAGGTCAATAAAAAAGAAGAACTTGTTATATGCATTTTTCTGTATGAATTACCTTCTAATGCATAATTACCTTCTAATGCACATATCCAAAGAATTTGGCTAAAAACCAGCGGTTTGCTGCACATGATATTGCTAATTTTTTAAAATAGGAATGACTTTCAACACACAGATATTTTAGTCTTCCTAGCTGATTTAAGTTACAACCCAATCCTAAGCTGTGAGATGTCTTAAGCAAAGGAGAGTTACACTTAACTGAGGGCAAATTAAGGTACTGAGTAGTTCACAAATTGTTACTCTTTGAATAACATACCAAAACTTCATCTGAAATTCTTTTATAATTTTTAGATTATTGTAACTTGGACTGATGAGTAAATAATCCACTGAACCACACTGTAGAGAAAATGACTGGCAATTACATTACTTGAAAGACCGTTACCAGAACAAAATTAAGTAACACATTTCTAAGAAAGTGACATTTTACAAAAAGACAAAGGCATGTATTTTCCACCCAAATCTAATGCTGCTGTCATCAACAACCCAACAAAAGCTACAGCTACCTAAAATGGAAATGAAAATGTAATGTATGGAAATATTCTCTTATAAAATCTCCTTAGGCTTCACATGTATTAATGTATTAGTTTGCAAACATTAAGATCAAAGGCAAAGCAACAAATACATCCTAAAAAGTTTTTAGTCAGATTTTTATTAACGATATACAAGTAGCAAGGCATAAAAAATTAATATGTTCAAGCCTTGAAATGTCAAGTGTAATGATCTCTAGCTCTGCTTACCTCCTTTGCTTTTTGTTTCAGTCTAGCTTGCTCTGGGTCTTCTTGCCTTGAGCGACTCTACATATTTAAAAAAAAATGGGGAAAAAAGGTTAACAGATGGTTTAAGAACCCCTCATCTGTTGCAGTAAGTTAAAAAATAGCAAAGAAAGGGGAACAGGATACAAGGTGTCAAAGATGGGATGCTTAAATTCATAGAAGTGCAATTTCAAACCCATAGGCCTCACCCAAAAGACTGTTAAATATTCAGTTGTAAATAAGATCTACCCTAGATTTAAATTAAAAAAAAAAAAATACCATGTTTTTGTCAGTGTTAAAGTTTCCATACAGGTTTCGATTTCGATTATTTAATAGAAACAAATTCAACCATCCAAGAGTGGAAATGACACCCTTTCCATTATCTGATCTTTTTAATTTAAATTCCTTACAGTCACTTATCTTAAAATAATTTACTGTTCGCAGCTAAGCTATTATTCAACTCTTGGTAGAGAATGTGGAGAAAACAGTTGTACAGTCACCCTCCCAAACAGTAAATCTTCATAACAAACATGTTAATATCCATATGAGCTTACTTTGAGTACAGCATTGAAATACAGGTAAGTTAAACTCATTCAACACACTACTAACAATATTAATGTTATCATTTTGAAAACTGGAGAAATATTGCCAATTGGCAACTTTTGCATTTTCCTTCAAAACCAGGAACAATAGCCCTAAAAACCCATTAAGAATAACTGTTTAGTTGCAGTAACAACCCATAACAGTACATTTCTTCAGAAACAGACTGGTTTACAACCATGCATTAAAACTATTAAAGTCTTATTTATGCTCACTAGGCATAGTTGATGGAATTCAAAATTCAAGAGGTAGGTAAAATATTCATTATACTTTTTAAATTGCATGATTGGTCAGTATTCAGAAAAGGTTGCATAAAAAGTTGTAAGAAGCTGCAATAAAACGTGAGACATCCATGGAAAACTGTTGTTTCCAATACCTGAAAGATGCAATTATTTTACTTTGGTATTACTTTGAGATTTAAAGTGATACCATTTACACAGCTCCTAAAGGAATATCTATGCTCTCTCCCATCTATCTTTCTCTGCCTCTTTCTATGTTGAAGACAGACCTGAAACTTGAAAGAGTATTAGCTTGCAAACTTACATACATTCAGATTTTTTCCCATTGTTTTAATTTTTCATAATATACCCTGTTCAGAAGTTAAAAAATCCACAAAGAAAACCAAAGGGTGATAGGTTTTAAGGGTAAGGGGACATGTAATATTGTTGATATACCTGGAGAGAGCGCCTTGACTATGATTTGGGAGAGCACCAATGACACTGAATTCTCTATCCTTTTTCCTGTTTTTTTGTTGTTGTTTGTTTTTTGGTTTTGTTTGTTTGTTTTTTTAAACTGGGATTTTTTTAGCTAATATAGCACACACATAAAACACAGTGATGACAAAGCATGGCAAAATTAAACACTAGTGAGATTTTTAGAAGATGTGCTCCACTCTTCCACTGCGCACATCAGCTTCACCTTCCAACACCACCTACTAGCGATTTTGTGCCTGTTAGCATAAAAGGCAGTTTGACAGGATAGTGTCTGGAGTAAAGTAACGAGAAATTAAAATCCATAATGACCAAATTAGACTCTCATGTTGCAGTCGCACCAATCAAGAAAGAAACTTAACTTAGACTGAGATTCCTTCCAGCTGCTGTGGTCAGACAAAAAGAAAAATGTAGATAATCTGATCTAGTTAGTGTTCAAAGAACAAAAAGGCATTTCATGAAATACGTGGATCTGCCAGCAAGCTGGGAGTCTGTTCAGTAGAGCAATTACTAAGAACTTGATTATATTTATACCTATTAGGTTAAAAAAACAAACAAAAAAACCCATTCAGTGAGTTGCTTCTCTAGGAGATAGACTTAGGTAAGCATTTATGAACTGAGCTGAATCAGGTCCTTGCTCTGTCATTTTGTGATGACAGTTCCACCCATTGTGTGCCTCAGTTTCTCCAGTATGATGTATGGAAAATCATATTCAGCCTTTTCATGGGTTTTGATGATAAATTTATAAATGTACAATGAACTTCTATTGCCTTCTGAGTCTCACAGTGAAAGCGGTACAGAAATACAAAGTGTTGTTGTACTACTGTATGAAGCTGAATCATTTGCCAAATGCAAAGTGTAAGTTAAAAGCAGTTCAGCTTAAGGAGAAAGCAGAGTGTCCTGGGAGAATCAAGCTGAGACTTCTAATATTGTTACCAACTTTCTACAAGAAAGTGATAGAATCCTGGAAAACATACCAGATCTATGTTGTGTTTGGGGACATTGTAAGAAAAGTTAAAGCAATAGATGCAAAGTGACACTGCAATCTCCTGGACTCCATAAGTGAAGGAAAAACTCTGAAAGTGCTACATATAAAAAAAAAAAAAAACAAAAAAAACAAAAAAAAAACCAACAACAAACCCCCCACATTTAAAAGTTGAGGATTTTTTTTTTCCCCTCCAGTAACTGACAAAATAAAAGTAGATCTGGAGTTCAGGATAATCTGAAAACACAGACCCCAAAAGCAGGTAAAAAAGAAGATAATCTACTCTGGAAACCTCCAGCTCATTCACAATAAATAAATAATAAAAATTATTGCAGAGGTGAAAACAGGTACTCAACTCCTGACTGATATTAAATACAGGATTTTTTTCAGTAATGAAGATTTAAAATACCAGGTGATGTTAGATAGATAAACCCAGACTGAAGGTGAAAGTAGAACTACTTTTACATTTAGAATAATGCAATGAGTTCCTGGTTATCCCTTGAACCCACACCAAATGGCCTTTTCAAAGGGCTTGGGCCAGCTCTTGTTTCAAACAAGTAGAATTCCAACTTTACACTGGATGTGCGATTACTCACATAAGTAACACTGTCATTTCTGTTTGTGGTTTTGTTGTTTTTTTTTTAAACAGATGGTTAAGACTAAAATACCTTCCTGCTATACCTTGTCAGTTTGCAAATCAGTAAGCTTCAGAAATAAAATCATCAGCATATGGAGGCTAAAATGTGTTAAAGGAAAAGTATAAATATTGAGTATTTTATTAATTCTTCACTTTGTGATCTAATGTAAAAGGTTTCTTTCAATGCCAATGCAACACAGATTAAAGCAAATATAAGCAAACGAAAATGTCAAGCTTAATAGAGGTGCCTAGATAAGCTTTAAAAATGTCACTGGCTTCTCTTTACACTCCATTCCACATGTGAACATCTTTTCCTTCCTCTGAAGACTTTGAACAATTTTGCTGCTGCTCAGCTCTTGTACTGCTTGTCTGTATCTCACAATTTTTACTCACCAATTATTTTAATATTTTACACTTACTTTCATCGAGCTACTGACAAATCATTCCTAGGGTTTTTTAATTCCAGTTTATATTTTTTTCTTTGAAGCAATCTTGTATTTTTTGTTTTGTCTTCTTTCTCCTTTCCCTCTAAAATCCAAATCTTAATATGCTGCACCTCACCTGTTTTGTGAAACACGTTTTTCCAAGATCTATCAATGCACCAACACCTCCTTCCTCTAAAGCTTCGGAAACACCCACCAATCACAGAACCCCCCAACTGAAATACTTTCAAGGAGCTTATCACAACTCGTCTCCCTTCCCCTCTCCATCCTTCATGTCTAGATCTGTAAATACAGAAATTTAGGTTTACGTAGCATTTTTTCATGTTGATGAATAAACACCTTTAGAAGCAAGCTAGCTTCCCATAGTAATTTTAGAGAAACCTAGGACTGATCCTAACCAGATAACATACTTTTAAATACATTAAATGCTGTCTCCTACTGAGAACTTATTCACCAAACCAGGTTTGTTAACATTTCTCTGAAACTTAAACTACTTTTATTAGACCAGACAGCTTGATATTTTAATTGTTAAGAATGAAAGTGCTTTGTGTTAGAGAACTTGCTATCTTATTTATCTGAAAACTGCATAGATCACATTAGGTCTATGGAAATATTAGACTTTGAAAGTATGAAAAGCAGCATATGTTAAATGTGTATTCAAAACACATTAGAAATATGGGGTTTCATTTACATGTTACCAAACTCCCTAATGTTCCAAACCTCAGTTTTTTCCCCTTGCTTGTGTTAAAGAAGAATGCCACAAAAACAGACATCTAATTACACATGTAACAGTGTAGTTTTAAGAAGGGGATTTTGTATTTCATAGAACTGTCTCAAATCAGAAAGCAACAGTATTTTTAAAATAATAAGCATATCGATAACTCATGTAAACACTTAAATATAAGTAACAATTATTTTTAAAACTGGAGGATACTCTGTGCGTCTATGCAGATGGGCAGACCATCAGTCCTTCTGATGTACATAATTATGATCACTATTCGGTACTTTGTTGTAATTTGTAATGTCAAAGCTGCACTGCACATTTTGTCCCACTAACAAAAAATGTTTTCTATTAGATTTATAGTAATGTTGAAGTCTCAGCTTGTTAAACCTGTGTTAGAAAATGTCTCAGAGGGTCTCTCCTCCTAAATACATGCCTCCTGCGTTTAGCAACATCTGATCCTGGTTAAGGCACTTAGAGCTCTACTCCCCCTTCCCAATACATATACTGGGAGTCTTTAATGCTTCAAATTCATCTTTTTTCATTAAATAAAGTTAAGAGTCACAACTGCAGGTGCTGTACTATTGAGAGCCACTGCTGTGCCAACAGTTTCAATTTTAAACCTATTTTTCCCCATTGATGACATTAGAACTTCACCCACGGCTGTACCAGCTTATAACTTTCACTTTTAATTAAAGAAATTAAATTGGCAACATGAAACACTTTGCTTTCACATTAACTTTCACTTTTTATTAACAAAGCTAAAAGCGGCATAGCTGAGGGTAAAACCCTATTCAGCGCTACGACCACAGTGAGTTGGAATGCAAGAGTACAGGTCTAAAATAAGATTTATTTTAAAATCATTAAAATTGAAGTAACAAATTTCTAAAAATTCAGAAAGTTATCTCAACACAATAATTCCCTCTTTGCTCTCCTCTCATTAGAAGTGAGCTGTAAGTTTCCGTTCAGAGAGTGCTTCATCTCACAGAAAGCTGCATTACATCCACTGTACCCTCAGAAGAGAGGGAAAGGATTAAATTGGCATGACGACTGAACTCATCTCTGGCTCAAAGAGGTAGCCCCTTCAAGTAATGACAGGACGTGTGCGTAAAGAAACCTGCATTTCAATGATCTCTCTCCAATAAAATAGCCCTTCATCCTATAGCACTATAAAATCACTGTCATCCATAAATACTAGTTAACTTCGCAAACAACACTAAACAATTTTGATTTACTTATGTAATTACTCTTTTTACAGAATAGATCTTACTCCTGTGATAGTTGTATTTAAGACCCCAAAACTTGACAGGCTTGTGCTACTAATATAGAACACTCAAAGTAATAGACTAATAGAATGTTGGAAATTCATTTTTGAAAATTATTTTGATAATAAACATGCATTTAGCCAATTTGAGCAGGTGAATTAACACAGTAATTTTAACTTGATCCGCTTTATTATAGATCATATCACAGAAGTATTATTCATTGATTTTCTGAAAACAAGGACAAGCCCAAGCTGTACCTTTACTGCAGAAAGCACAAATCTCAAAAGAACCCAATTCAGAAATAAAACCAAATCAAAAAAATATTAACTCATTCAATTTAATACAGCAAGACTTTTTTTTTTTTTTAGAAAGTCCACACAACACACACCATGTCAAATGTAAAGGTAAATTCTTCAAGTGATTTTAGTCTGGCTTTTGACCTTTCTGCAGTCTTAAGACTTTCCTTAGTTCTTCTTGCGATTTCCCATACCAGCCGCCAAAGGCAGATTCAAAAGATCTCTGCTTCTGCACACACGTGGAAACAACAGCCAGTGGGTTCTTACTGGGGAAACAATGGGGGCAAAAGAGTTGACCCTCCCAGATACATCCTTTGAAGAGACTGCACTCTACGTATGTGTTTATATACAAAGATGGCCCCTCGTTGTGCCATTATTATTTTACCCCATTATTCACGTATCAGGAAGATAACCCAAAAGTAATGACAAGGCAACTGGAGTCTCCCCCGTACAGCTTCTGTATTTGACACATTGTACTATCTGGATGTTTGAAACACGAGCTGTTCCAGCAGCAGGAGGTGACTGGATCTTACGGTTTTGGGGACCAATATGTCTTTAAACACTGCTGTTACAAAAAGAATCACTAGGAAGTAAACTAGAGAAATGCTTTGGGCCATAAGTTCTAGGTTAGCATGCATACATTGTGGAACATGATGCAGAGATCCCTGAGGTACAAGAGATTGTTCTAGCTCCTGAAACAGTATAGTCTTGTTTTCAATTTTTAGGTTTTTAACTAAAAAGAAATTGTACGCTGCATTGCTACTATAGCATACCTTACGATTTTTCCTTTCCTGTCAAGTTTGTCTTCCCTCAAAATATCTCACTGGAATACAAACATCAGTCATTATTCTTCTAAGCTTGTGGTATGAGGTTTCTATTTCTCAAATATTTCCCAGGCATGCGACATAAGATTTTGTAATATTCTCTCATTTAACAAGCCAAATAATACTGCTATTCTGCTTTAAAGATACTCTTGTAGCTTCACAATTATTCTTAACTTGGATAGTGATTTCTCTCAGAATGTAAAAAATTTAAGAGTTTTTAAAACCTAACTTTTTTTTCTTCTATCTCCCCATCTGATTTTATCTCTCATTCTCCCAAAAACATTTCCTGAAGCAAAACCAACCCCATCTGAGTGCTTACAAATTTTGCAATCACGACACTTCCTTTGACCATTGCTTACATTACCTTTCTCAGCCCTTACTGAATTCTAATGCAAAATTAGTTTCAAGGCTTCCCAAAGACTCATGTTGATTCCTCTTTCATTTTGATCTGTTCCTTGATTTTTCATCATCTTGTCAGTTGATTATTTTGCTAAGTTTATTATTTAATACCATCTACTCCAATGCCCAAAACATTTCCTTCATTATCTTATTCTTTGTCAAAACCAGAACTTTGGCTGTGAACAAGGCTCTGAAGTGCAAATAATTAAAATAGAATTTTCACTGTGCAAGTTAAACCTGTTTACACTCTTCCATACTAGACAACAGATGAGGTACCACGAGCAGGCAATTTTGAAACTTTTCCTAAAATTATTCTGCTGAGTAACTTTAAAAACATGTTGCAAAATAATGTGACAAAACATAAGATAAAAAGATCACTCTGTTCATCTAAAAGGCACAGTAAGAAGCTGCAATTATAAATAAAAGAAAAAAATTATTTTCTAAAAATTCTCTAAAAGAAAAAATGAAATTTCCCTTTCTGTTTTTTTTAAGATTTAAGCGTTTATAGGGGAAAAAAAAAAAAGCAGAAACAGGAATTTTTTTTAAAAACCCAAGTTTTCTAATCTTTAAAGACACAACACTGTCAAGGTGACAAAGATACCATGACTGGGGGGACATTGTCTTTGCATAGCAGGTGTTTCAGTCTCCAGAGCCAGTTCAATCGTTATCCCCCTTGCAGACACAAGTATCAATCAGCAGGCCACGAACAGACAGGAACTGGTTACTGATCTTTACCACTGTTTATGAGGGCAGCTGGGGCAGATTTTAACTGTGTCCATTTAATAACTGTGTCATTACAATTACTGCATCCTTTCCACAAAGACTTAGATCTCCTTAGACAACTAGGCAAGTTCATAAAAGACCAGAAAAAAATAAATCCTGGGCAAGGAATTAGTACATAGGAATTCAGAATAAAGACCTCAACAGTTATCGCTGTTAATGTACAGGTGGTCTTGCATTTGAGCAGTAACTAGATTCTAAGGAAATCATGAACAATGTATTATAATTAAAAGTTGTAATCTGACCATATTTTGCTAAACTACGTCCTACCTAAGTCTTGCAATAGGTTGTCAATCCATTGGAACAGAATGGTTGAGAGACAGATAAACACTCCACAAAGGAAAGACACTATTAGTATAAGTTCAGTTCCAAACAGGCATTTACACTTAAATCACAACATTGCATAAGCACCTCCCAAAAGGTTTACAATATCTTCAACTTCTCTTTCTAAGCATTAATACTGATAAATCAGCATTGCTCTTCCATGGCTATTGTGTGGTTTGGTTTTTGGTTTTTAATATCTTCATCTAGCTTCCAGTATACCATGTACTTATTCCAAGCTGTATCCTATCACTTTCTGGTTATGAAGTTGATTTATATATTCATTATTTTCATTAAGATAATTCCTTCAAATCAAGCAGAGGGCTCTTTATTTTATTTGTTTGTTGTAGAATTCCTTAATTTGCTCTTTCTGTAAACTATAGGAAGCAAAATTGTGGATCATGTATTTATTTCCTAAATTTTGACTTCACAGGAGTTTATATTATTCAAGACTAAAACAACAACCCCACAAAAACAAAGAACCTGGAATCATAAAATAATTAGGGTAGGAAAGGACAATAAGAAGTCATCCAACCCAACCTCAGATAAGCCTGTGTGAGGCTTTGTGCAGTCAGGGAACTGAGGACTACAAGCTACTGTATTTTCCTTGATGTCCACTAAAAAAACCCCAACCAACATAACAAACAAGCAGCAAGATACACAGAAAAGAAAACATGATTCATCAAGACATATTCACTGAATGGATAAAACAGGATATTTATTTTTAAAAATAAGTTTTAATCTAAACATTTAAAGCGTATGTATGTTATGTGGAAATTTGTGGTATATTTAACAATGTGAACAATTATAAATTAAGAGTGAAAACAGGATAGATGAAAGTAGCCAAACTGAGAAACAAATTTCTGAAAGAAGCAAGAGTTTGTTTTTTTTAAAAAAACCTCTCAATTTATGAACATTAATGACACAAAATCAGGAAGCTAAGTGTTACACCTGAGCATTGAGTTGTTCTGTATAATCTCTTCAGCATATACAATAACTAATAATATGAAAATGCAAATGCAATGAAATAACCAAGATATTGAGATAACTAAGGTATAAACTTATTTGCAGTTTGATATGATCTATATATCATATATATAAAATGTAATTAAATTTGCAGTTATAAACAGGAGGTTTATCTACACCTGTATGCTCCCTGAAACAATGTTGTCTTAGTTTGTTCTATTCCATGTATGAAAATTCTGTCTTTGCAATTAAAGTTATAAACAAACAAGTCCAAAAGAACTGATACTTAAGTGAAGACAGGCATGAATCAATTAAATAATGCAGTTATATAGAGGTGACCAGAACACCGACTGGGACACACAGTATTTAAATTAAAATAAACAAATGAACAAAACTGTTTTAAAAAAAAAAAGTCTAGAAACTCAAGAAGTAAAAAGCCTCAAAAACCACAAGAAGTAAAGTAAAAAGCCTCAGAAAAATCCGTAACAGTTTACTGAACTGTGTTTAAATAGCAGAAGTGTAGGCTATGATTTTCAAATGGCACAGAAACCCTGGCATCTATTAAATTTCAAAGGCAATTGTGAAAGTTATTTCACCAAGTTATTTTGACAATGTTAGCCATTGTCTCCTATATTCCCAAGAACTCATCAAAGTCAGAGCTATATCTTGAAAACGCAGGAGCATTCTAGTCAGGTAGGTCTGGAGTCATCATAGATAAGATAGCATGACATAATTCATTAAAGCTGTGGTATCACAACAACAGTATCTTTTTTGTTAAAAGAAATAAAATGTTTATGAAACAGATTTCATGAAATGAAATAATTGTTCGAAGACTATGAATTGTTAAGTAGTTTAAAAAAATAGAGTAAAACAAATACCTTGGCAGCCTTTAGCAAGATTTCCCTCTCTTGTTCATCTTTCCGTTGCTTTTCTAAACGCTCCAACTGTTCAAAAAACTTTAACTGTGATCGGACATCTGTAGCTTGCTCGTACCATTCATCATCCTGTAAAATAAGAACAATGTTTTAAAAACCATGCATTTTCATCAAGATTATGCACTTAAAGAATACCATAGGTGTTATATATTAAAATCTTTCCATTGTACTAACAATTAAAAAAAAGTCTCCTTTTTTTTTAAGCTCAGGGAAATTATGCCAGCCTATGGTTAATAATGCAGCTAGAATCTGATTATTTAATTAATATCTAAGCAAATTAAAAAAACCCAAGGATTTATCAGCACCAGAGACAACAAAGAGTTAAAAAAAACCCCAAACCAACAGACTTACTAATTAAAGCCCCCTAAGATGCTTAACTTCATTACTGAACAATCCTAGATATAGGATATAAGGCTGGTTTATAAACTGCAATTCCTCTATTTGTACTCATTGTGAACTAGTGAGAGACATGATCAAGATGCAGCATTATAAAAGCATCAAAGCTAAAAATTCAGTTGAAAATAACCCTCTAATTACAATTAAAATAGAAGAACTTCATAACAACTAAGAGCACGCAAGCTTTCCTAGTATCCAACAAACAACAAGAATTTATGACACGAGCCGCACAGAGAACACTCAGAATGTCAGTCAGAAAAATGTTATCCATATTACTTCCATCTCATTTATCTGCTTAATATTTTCCTTTTTGACTGCAATGCTATGAAATCTAAGAAAACCATTAACCAAGAAATATAAAAAAGACAATGAAAATGCTACGGTTCAATTGGAGACAACACTTTTTTTTTTTCCTAGGAATCTGTTAAAATATTATTTTAAATGCATCTTTGGCTTAACACGAACTAAGCGAAGTGTTTTCTTGTCAGACACTATCCTAGGGAGAAGGAAGGAGGGATTTAACACTGCCGAAGCTGAAGAAGAATACTGGAAAGAAGCAGGCAGATTTTACTTTTAGTCCAATATAGTAGAATATATCCATCAATTGCAAGGAAAGATGCAAGTGTATGTAATACACAGGCATAGTGGCCTTTATTTTTTTTAATCCATTTTTCTATCACAGTAATGTTGATTCTAGTCACAGATCCCAAAGATAATTTTTCTTGCAAATGCCACATATAATTAGCCCAACTGTGACTCAGGTTTGGGAAATAGGTGGCCAAAGATACAGTCCAAAGCTGTTTGACCAGGCTTTCTCTCAAGGAAAAGAAAAACAAACAAAAACACCCCAAACAAGCAAAAAGCCAAACCAGAGCTACTCAGTGTATATATACACTAAAGAAATCTAAACACAACTTAGACACAACACACAACTAGGGTTATTGCCATCTTGCTTTTACACCGGTTTAAAAACTATTAGTGCCTTTTACAAAAAAATATTTCACGTTTATCAATAAAGATGTTTGATTTATTTGAATTTCAAACTGGTTTGCAGCTTCTTATTTAAATTTTCCCCCTGGTTTAAGATATCTAAATTGTTTCAACTTTCTTCAAGAGTACAGTCACTAACAATGGTTAAGTATCAGAATAGCATTTTACCTCAAAACGTTCTTTTTAAAGAGAACATCATTATTTGATTACAGTGAAGAATTTATAGCTGAATTCTTTAGTTGCTGGCTTAAGACAAATTGGTAGCTTTCGTAAAATATTAGTATTTCTCACAGCCACAGACATGCAAAGTTACTATAGCTTCCTATACATTGAAGCAATTTTGATCCAGTCAATGGATATCTTGGTCAAAAAAGGAGAGATCAAGAATCAACAGTCTTAGCCGCAATCCACGAGCAGAAATAGCTTAACAGATGCTCCGTGCTAGACACTTCAGCACAGAAGGATGAAAACATAATTCTACACACAAATTCTATCACAGAGGAGGAACACAGAACTAGCAAGCAGTGCTACCATCCCACCACTTTCTATTTGCTGAGCTAGACAAACCTGCAATTAAAAAATGCTTTGCACACAGAACGAACACGAAACACCTACCGTGAGCTAAGAAAAATCGTCGCCACATTGCATCGTTCTAGAACACACAATACCTTCCTTTGTACACTTACTTTGTACGATTCCATTCGGTGCTGGGTTATGACTGTTACTTTTTCTATCACTGTTCTTAATCTGTTTTGTGTTGCATGGGAAATAAAAGTAACCACCTCAGCTGGCACATCAGTAATTCCTAGTTTTTTAGCTAAAGCAAAACACAAAACAAAACAGAATTAGCTTACCCCCCCCAAAAAACCCCAAACCTCTAAAGAACATAAAGTCATAACTTCATTTTCCTGAACAGAAAAATCCATGACTGTATTTATGTAGCTTTAGTGATACGCTCATATCCCATTAAAAAGGTGTGACTACGTTTTAACGTTTGAAAGAGAAATCAGCTTTTTTTTTACCCCTTAGAAAGCATTTAAGAATTTTACTGAAGTTTATCCTAGCATATTAAAACAAAACATAACAAAGTATGAGACAATTTGAGTTCTCAGTTGTTCTACACAAGAAAAAGCAATTGCTGTATCTTCAGAAGCAACAGTGCAGATTCATTTCAGTGTCAGTGAGATGAGGCTGCAGCCCAAAGCATACTGTTGCATACTTTAGCCTATGCTGTTGGCATACTACAGATAATGAAATTTTTTTAGAAGAAAACCCACTCTATTAATTGAACATGAGGAAATAAAGTCATATTAACAACAGTTATTTAAAAACACCAGTTGTCCCCCAAACACCACTAAAAGACATATTCATAGTTATTTGGACATTTGAAACTTTGTGCGAAGTTTATACAAAAAGCAAACACTCTACAGTCTAATAGATTGATATATTAAAAAACCACCTGAGATACAGAAACAAGAATATGGGTAACACTTAAGAATTCCTAAATTCATCACAATAATTACTATGTATTGGATATGGATTTGTAGATATACGAATACACATACCAATCTAAGCTATTGTCCTGCAAAGGCATAGGAGCAGTCCCAGGGGGCCAGTCTTCTGGAGGAAAAACTGTGTGTGCACGCGCACGTATATATTTTATATATATAAAAAATAAGTAGTTGCATTTTGTACGGATTATTGGATTTGATTCACCACAAAAGAATAAATACTCTGGTTACACTGAATCAGTTTCCCACTGAAGGAACACAAGTCTTTTAAAAACGTTTGCGAATAGGTCTGTTTGCCATAGGTTAATAATTACGCAGAAGACTACTACAGGAAAGGTGTCTGAGAGTATCTTGGACAGTGTTTCCTGAACAGCTAATTACAAAAGTGATCTTCGTTTGCGGGAGGGGTCCCCAAGCAAATACAAACCTGAGAGGCTTAAGAATGAGTGTGTGCTTTGTGAGGCATTCCTATCTCTTCCTGGCCAAATTCAAGAGCAAGAAACCATCGCACGTCTAAAAAATGAAGACGAACAAGTGAGCAGTGGTCTCACAGGGATGTGTACTTCTGTTATTTTAATGATGTGATCTGAGACGAACTGGCAGCGTTCAGCATCACCCTGGGCTTCTGTCAGGGCCGGGCGGGGGCCGGTCAATCACGGCGCGGACGGG